CTCTAAATCAATATAGTTGTTGTTAAATAAAATGCTAAGAGAGAAAATTCTGCTTTTTTTAGGTTTCTGTAGAAATAAACGAAACAAAGACCCTGAACGCACTACGGCTCTGTGCGCAGATAGACCTCATGATGAAGTTCACTGATGTCATGTCTCCCAGAAAGGGAGCAGAACCTGATTTAAAGGTGCAGGTCGATGCCGGTCAGTACTAACAGTGTTCCCTGTCTGTTCAGCACCGTCACTCGGACTGATCCAGAACCTCAGCAGCAGTTTGTATCGACAGCAGAGACACCAGAGGGAGAAGAAGCAGAGCAGGAAACAACCAATGTTAACCTAATCCACACAAACTGAATCCAGAGAGACAGAGAGACGGCATGTTCTGTAACTCCGTCTGTTAAACATCAGGTGAGACATCCAGCTGAACAGTTCGACTGAACAAGACCTCCAGAGACCTCCAGAGAACAGATCAGGGTTCAGAATATAGAAACCAAAGTTTATTATTAAAGCAAAATGTTTGAAAGAGAAACACTTTAAAAACAGGCCCTAACCACTTGGTGCACTAGACAAGATATTACAACCAATCCTAATATTAATCACAATGTTCAGATACTTAAAGAAAACTGGCATACAGCTTTTCTTTATTTAAACCGGATATGTATCGGTACGGTCAGTATCGACTGCCCTCCTCCCCCACAAAGAGCGGGTAACAAGCAGGTTGTTATATTACTGAATAATATGATGAACATTCATAACATTTAGTGAAAGTTTAACACATTTTTCCATCTTTTTCTTCCTCACTTATTTCGGGTTCCAGGGCGCCCCCTATGGACGGCTGGTGCCCCTATAGCATTTGCCTGTACCGCCTAAGCCCCGGGGCGGCCCTGGTGAGAGAACTCACCATTAGCTGCGTATTAGCATGCTAGTTCTACACGACCATAGTCTGAAGCTAACAGGTGATTCACTAAGAGAGGAAGCTGTTGAACAGGAGTTTTGATCTTAATATGCTTTAGTTCACTTCTACCTTATAAGCAAATAATTAGCCGCTATGCTGCTGTTTCATGGAGAAGCTTTAGGTGTGAGATTTAAGGAGTAACTTCTGCCGATGTCGAGCGATCTCGGCTGGTGACGTACCGCAAATGCTCGTCGAGCGTAAACTCCGTCCTGGATTACAGATTGGGTTTAAAACTGGCTACTGCACCTGATGCTGTATGAAGAGTTTGGTGAGATCATTCTGCTCTTCTTTTGTTCAGCCTCTCCCCCCTTTCCCTCCTCGTCCTCTTCTCATCTCCTCTGAGGTGACATGTGACCTCCTCCTCTCCTCTCCTCTCCCTCCCCTCCTCTCCTCTCCTCCTCTCCTCTCCTCCTCTCCTCTCCTCCTCTCTCCTCTCCTCTCCTCTCCTCTCCTTTCCCCTCTCCTCTCCTCTCCTCTCCTTTCCTCTCGTCTCCTCTCCTCTCCCTGCGTCTCTGCTCCATCATCATCAGCTGGCCTGACTCTGTGATAATCATGTCTGATACCTGTGACCATCATTACAACCAGTGACAGGGGGGGGGGGCGCTGACAGGAAGGCCCTCCACAGGTCAGTGTGAGGTGAGTGTTATCACAGGAGGTGCAGAGCAGCGTCCTCTCTCTCTCTCTGCTCAGGATATTAGAGCATCACAACATGTTACACCTCACTATACTTCACATGTTTTCTCCCCTCTCAGGACATTTTAGGACGACTTCCTTTCGTGTGTTTCTTGCTCCGAGCTTCTCACCAGGTGGTAATAATCTTTAAATGTAACTACGGTTATAATGAAACAAATACATTAGCTGTTACCGAGGGCTGTTCAGCGCTCCCCGATGCTTTAATCGCTGCATGAACCTCCTCGTTAGGAGCGAGGAGAAACAATCAGTGTTTAGATTTCTCTCTGCTGAGGTTTGTACGGTGGCCCTGAAGGTTCAATGCAAAAACATCCCACAGAAAATATTTAAAGTTCCCATGAAGCAGAACTTCAGGAGCGTCTAACCGCCATGTCTAGGCATCCCAGAAGACCGAATCAGAAGACAGGGTTAGATAAAGGATACGCCCCCGAGTGCAGGATGAGTCATCAGACATTTGAAACATTTTACAGGAAGAGAAAATACAGATATTTATGATGTAAAAACAATAATCAGATGATATTTTATTTAAATATATTTGGTATGTACGCCCATGTACTCATGGAGACTTAACCAAAACTTATAGATACATGAAAACCTTTTGTGAAAAGCAAACACATAACGTGGAGTGCAAAAAACATTTCCTTAAACCTGAAAACATAATGTATCAATGCGTTGACCATTACAGGTGTGTCCATATGTTACAATTCACTTAGCAGACGCTTTTATCCAAATTAATGTACAACTACAACACTTATCCATTCATACACCGCCACTGAAGCAGCAGGAGCAATACGGGGTCAAGTGTCTTGCCCAAGGACACATCGCTCAGCTGGGGATTGAACCCTCGATCTTCCGTTTGAGAGGTGACGACTCTACCAACTGAGCCACAGCCGCATATAATGATCTGCTTTCCTCAGGTATAACCATGGACTGTAAACACGCAGCCTGAGCGTCGTCCCCCGTCTGTTCCTGCAGGGGGCGCTGGAGTCCCATCGATGACGTCCCCCGTCTGTCCCTGCAGGGGGCGCTGGAGTCCCATCGATGACGTCCCCCGTCTGTCCCTGCAGGGGGCGCTGGAGTCCCATCGATGACGTCCCCCGTCTGTCCCTGCAGGGGGCGCTGGAGTCCCATCGATGACGTCCCCCGTCTGTCCCTGCAGGGGGCGCTGGAGTCCCATCGATGACGTCCCCCGTCTGTCCCTGCAGGGGGCGCTGGAGTCCCATCGATGACGTCCCCCATCTGTTCCTGCAGGGGGCGCTGGAGTCCCATCGATGGCGTCCCCCGTCTGTTCCTGCAGGGGGCGCTGGAGTCCCATCAATGGCGGTCTCCATGCTGGAAATGCTGTCTCAGTCTAACTTTCAGTCAACCTAACGACAGGCTGAGAGCTGGAGCTGAGGCGGGTTTTAAACCTCCTGACAAACCGTTACACCGCGCCCACCTGTCAATCAGGTCAGCTACACGCCTTATTGTGAATAACTCTTATCCTTCATCAAATCAAAACTGATGAGTCATCAAAACATTCACCCCCCGTACAGTGTGTGTCCATCCAGACATGAGCTAATCACACCTGTTTGGTTTTTTGAACCAGGCTGTAAACATGTTCATCTCTGCTGTAAAAACAGGCTTTTTAGAATGGGTGTGTATGTGACTTCCTGTGGTTCTGCAGCCAGCCTCTAGTGGACACTCCAGGAACTGCAGGATGTTACACTTCAGCATCGGCTTCATGTTTCAACACAGGAGGTTGCTGGGTAACAGTGAGTCTCTGCTGGGATCCAGGTGAGCTCTGTGTGTGACGATGGTCAGTTAATGTTTGTTATTAAAATTGATTATTAGAATCAAAACCAGATTATTGTGAATGTTTAGCCTCGCTGTGTTTATTTGTTTTATTGGGGAGAGAGCTGCTGTTAAATACTTAAATGAGATTAAAATGAGTTTTCTCTCAGGCATTTCAGATTTAATGAAACAGTTTCAGGGGCTGAGAAAACATCAACCTTTATGAGTCTGGATATTAAAGCTTTTTGGCATCTTTTAAAAAACGACCTGTGGATGTCCTCTGAATGTTTCAGACAGGCAGCCTCTGAAATCTGGGGGGGGAGGATCGTGAAAAAGAACGGCGCAGAAACGACGGACAAAGAAAGAGTGTGACGCTTTGAGGATCATTTTTGTCTTTCTGTTGATGCTACGTACCGCGGCTTTAAGGTTAGCCCAGAAACGTTTCCTGTCATCAGAAATTCTAAAAGTACAACCACAATAAGTGAATGAAGGAGTGAAGCCTCGTTTCCACCAAGCGGTTCGGTTCGGGTTCGGTACGCATTTCTTAACGTTTCCACCGGTAAAAGTTAGGTATGGTCCCAGAATAACTGATCCGTACCGTCCTACTTTTTACATTTTTTTTATGTTTTTATTAGTTTGCACAGATGATAAGAAAACATACAGTTGGCATAAGAGTTGACATTCAGTCCTTCTTTTTTGCCACTTTTCTGTTCAACCAATCCAAGCGGGGCGAGACACACTTCTTGTTTTGTCGTCCGGGTACAAGGCTCCGTTTGGCTGTGGAAACCGTACCAAACTGTGCTGAACCACACCGCACCGCTTGATGGAAACGAGGCTTATGTGACTTCCTGTGCTTCGGCAGTCAGCCTCTAGTGGACACTCGAGGAACTGCAGGATTTTACACTTTTACATCGGTTGATGTTTCACCATCGGACGTTGCTGCTTGGAACAGATTTGATTTACTGGATGACACTCAGAGAGAATGGATGGAAACTAAAAACGAATCTCTAAACATTTTCAAAGATTCATTTTTCATTATTTATTTATTACTTTTTCATTTTTTCACTGTTATATTATCACTTTAAAGCTGATTGGAGACATTTTTAAAAACATTTAACGTGAATGAAGATGTCTAAATCAACATCAGATGATTAAATAATAGATTTAAACTCCTGATAGAAGAAGGTAAGCATGTTGTGAAGGTGTGCAGGACCGCGTGTGCTCCTTTAAACGTGTAATGAATCAGACAGAAAAACAGAAAAAACATTTTTTTTTTCTTTTTTGAAATTTCATCTCATGTCTCCGACGGGGACAAAGGAGAGAGTGATGACGCTATTATTGGATATTATTATAGGATATTATCATTGACTTTCATTATGGATCTGTTCGTGACCTGCAGGAGGAGGGGGAGGGGGAGGGGGCTGCTGACGCGAGCCAATAGCAGCGCAGGGAGTGCAGCTCAAGCGACTATAAAGGTGGAGGAGACCTGGATTCATCCCAAACACTGAAACCTTCACACAGACACACACTCCAGCTGCTGAAACACACAGACACACACTCCAGCTGCTGAAACACACAGACACAC